ACAATCAGGATAATGATGAACGTCTAGGTGTGAGAAGCTTAGGAACATTGTAGGCTTTTGGTTGTCCTTTGTGCCATTCTGCCTGGATTTTTCCATGGATCATGTCAGTTCCGGTGGAGAAAAGTCTTCATTCAGACTGTCGGGGTTTCTTCGAACCCTCCATTGTCATCATATCCCCCCCCTCCGTCATTCAAAGGCTGATTCAGACCCCTCCCCTCTCAGCTGCAGAACTTCACTGCTATGATCACGGTACTCAGGAGTGTTTTTTTCTTTAAATAAAGGTCTTTTCTAATGAATCTGCTACTTTTTCTTTTTCTCCTCGCCTCACCTATCAGTTTCCTTTGCTGAAAATAACAGAGCTGCACAGGAATGAGGTTCCATGTATGTTGAGGTCCTAACCACAGTGAATGTGCTCATCTTTGGTTCACATTTTCCCCTCAGCACATTTCTCTCTTATTTTCCGTACGGTAAAAGTTTCAGCCCCCCTCTGTCACCATGTGAGCATAAAGCTGTGGATGAGATTTAATGCTGGGTTATTGTTACCATGATGTCATTCAAAACAACCACGCTGTCATTAGTTTCATTTGGCTGTTAAAGGAGACCTGCATGATGAATAGGCTCAGCCTTTTCTGTGCTGCTGGTCTCTGGGATTTAGTCAAAGACACAGAGAAAGCCCCCCTAATGCAGGGAAGAGTTTCCAGCATCGTGACCAGCTTGTTAAAGTACCCCGACACACACATAGTAACGCTACGCTAACAATCCCCGCGTTAGTTCGCCATCAGCCCACCATCCTGCTTCACAGTCACTGTTTGCAACTAAAAACCTTCTCATCTTTTATCAGGATTTCATGTTAGGGTCCAAGGCAAAATTATGATGCTTTTCAATGTGTTTTTTATAAATAAAAATATCAAAACTGGGTATTGCATTTCTAACATTTGGCTGCTTCTCGTTTGAGGTATGTCAACCATCTTTGTTTATCTGAACTACATTTGGTTTGCCTGCTTTTTTATTTCCTTGTAAAATAGTTCAACTTTGATCTGATTGGATTTAGAGCATCCATGACCATCAAGCTTTGGATGCAGGATTTAAATTAGACTTTGGTTTAGAGGGCTGAAATAATTAATTGAATTAATCGTGATTAATCGATTATTGAAATTATCGGCAACTAATTTAGTAATCGATGAATCGTTAACTGGACGATACAGACTGTAAAACAAGCCTTTAGCTGACAGAACAACCCGCTTAGAGCAGGAATTATACCAAAACTGTAAATAAAATATGTAAACATTTTGCATTTAAGATAAAAAATCTTTCTGGCTTGTCTATATGCTCTATCCAGAACTCCTCAAGTGGAAAAGTTTTAGTTTTACCTGGTTTAATTCAATAAAAAATCTTCTTTTAGTAGCCTTTTGCTATCCGAAAAAATTATCGACAGATTAATTGTTTTAATCTGCCGAGCAGCTTTGCTGTTTGGCTGTGACTCCATCCTGGAGAGAAATATCAGCTGTGCTGCTGCCATCAACACCTTTGTTTCTAGATGTTGGAGCTTGGCCTGTTTTCCAGTGTAGTCCTGTTTCTCTGACTGTGACTAACTGGATGTGCTCTCTTTATCCTCTGACATGGGAGCTGGCTCGGAGCTCGTCTGCCTGGCTGTGTGTTTCCTGGACGGGGCCGCCTGTGGAGCTGGTTGACAGTTGCCTTTTGTATCTATGCTTCTTTTTCTATGTCTGCTTCTGTCTCCTTGAACCCCAGTGGGCGTCAGCAGATGGCCGCTCACACTGAGCCTGGTTCTGCTGGAGGTTTCTTCCTGTTCAAAGGGAGTTTTTCCTCTCCACTGTCGCTACAAGCATGCTTAGTGTGAGGGATTGCTGAAGAGTCAATGAGTCGATGCAATCAGCTGGTTTTCCTTAGATAGAAAACTTTGAATCAATCTGACTGGATGATCTGGTGAACTGGAAAGTGCCTCGAGATTACATGATGTGAATTGGCGCTATAGAAATAAACTGAATTGAAATTGAATTAATTAATTTGCAAAATAATTGTTAGTTGCAGCCCTAGTTTAGATTTTGAATCATTCATTCACACATCCCATATGTTAACTTTGTAGAATAAACAGTCCCCAATGACAGGAACAAAGCCTGGGATAGACTAATGGTATAAAACTCAACTTTTACATTTATTTCAGCTTTTTGTGTGACTTGTCTGCTGTGCGCTGCATCTCTCTCTTCATAGAACAGCTAGATTTACACTAGGAATAAATGTATTTTAATATCTGCATAACTGCTCTATGTTGATCTATCATAGAAAGTCCCAATGAAATAAATTATATAGAAGTCAAACTAACGAGAACGGGTGTAGAAATGCTGCTGTACGCTCTGTCAGGTTTCCCTTCTTTCCCCCGATTGGATTAATATCTGTCTAACTCAAGAATCTCGCTGAGGGGAACATTTTAATTACAGCGAAACATGTTGTGAGTTTGTGGCTGTGAGGATGTGGTTCAGTTGCTGCTTCAGGAAACAAAGTTTGAATGATTGATGGCATTAAAGAATCATTGGCCTCCATCTAATGTGCACTGAAGCTAAAATAAAAATGTTCTTTTACTTAAAATATCTAACAAATAATATGGTAGAATATAAATAATACTACTACATTTATTGTTGCATTTATTATTAAATGTGTCTATCATCTTTTTTTTCTTTTTACCATGTCCATAGCTTTTTGGTTTAATGGTTTCTCCCCTATGATTGGACTCCCATTGCCTTTCTCAACCATTTTTACAGCCTTAGCATATGTTACATTCTGTTTAACCGTTATACACTTTCCATAGACTTGGTATTTTCAGAACAGCGGCCACATCTCCTTTTTCTTTTACACATTTTATCAACATGTCCAAATTCCTGACAGTGTCATGATTTATTTAAAGGATCTGACCCAAAATGCAGAGAACCACTCAGAGAGCAAGGCAAGAGTTTGAACAGGTTTATTGTGGTAAGGGTTGAAGGGTTGGATGGAAGGGAGGAGGGAAGTTCACAGAGGTGAGTTCAGGTACCGTGGGAATCTTGGATGCCGTAAGGATAATCCTAGTGAGGGACTCACGTTTGGGAGGGTTTTTCTGTCACTTCGAATCCAGTCTGTGTGGGTTGACCTAGTGAAGAGGGGACTCGGAGAGCGGACAGATAGACCTTTTTGGATCCAGAGGAGTATGAGAGGACTGTCACTTGGAAATCCAGGAGAACTTGAACGGAACTTGTGGAGGTTAATCCCCTGCTCAGTGTGAGACTCAAACAATCCTTCCAGGGGAAGAAGGCCAAAAATCCAGTTTGCAGGATGACTTCCTGCCGAAAAGGCAAAGACAAAAACAGGGTTAGGCTCAGTGAAACAAAGACTCAGTTAGAACTCAGCTAATCTCAGCTTGGCTAGAGTACCCAAAACTGGCAAACACTCTGGCACCAAGGTAGTGACAGTCCACTGCTTAAGTACTCCTCCTGATAATGATCCAACAAGACACAGGTGTGCAGGGAGGACCAACGAGGACAGGGCGCTGCCTGGTGGTGGAGGGAGAGACAAACACAAACAACAGACCACACAAACTGGATTCCTGACAGACGGTTGAAACATCTAGCCCTACACTACACTAACCCTGGAGCTTATCAGGCCAAAGAAAACTTCTTTTGTTTCAGACTCCACCAACACAGTTTCAGTTTCTTCTTTCTCCTCTAGTCAGTCTTCTGGCTTCTTTTTTTCTCTATTTCTTTGCTTTCGCTTTAAGTCCAGTCCAATTTAGAGGTAAACCTGAAACGACACCCATGCTACCAATGGTTATCCCTTGCCTCAACTGTTTTAACTTTATGTTTTGTTAGTTTTTTGCGCTTTGTCCACCTGAGTTTTTATGTTTCAACCAATCAGCATTTTCCCATCTCTCAGTATCTTTTGATATCTCAAACTTGCACTTTAAGTATTTTTGTTCACTTAATTGGGTCAATTATTTTTATTCCTTCATCTTCTTCAAATCGTAATGCTAAAATCAAGGATGTAATATTTGGATGGACATAATTCCTTTCTGCATTCTCTTTGCTATCTGTTGCTTCATTTCTCTTTTTTTTGTTCTTTCCAGTAATGCTCCTCGTCTTTCCACCGTTCAACGTCTTCTCCCTCTTTCTTTCCACCTAGACCACTGATGTCTTCCTCCTCACTGCCATCTAAGCTATTCCCCTCATTTTGTTCTGAATCCATAGATACCATGATCAGAAATACTGATCTATGAGGATCCTTTGCTTTTCAAAAGAACAGGGTCTCTTCCAAGGCTCCATAGGCCTTCAGTTAGTTTCTTCTACATTTATGAATGTGTGACTCAGTGTTTATCTGCTTTTCAGCTCAATTTTATTTTTCATCTCTTATTGGTTATTCAAGTTCTGGAACCTTGAGATGAATGAAAGCAGCTCAGAAGGAAACAATAGAGCACAGCTTGAATGAAACACTTAACGAAGCAGAACAGGTCGTATAAATATTAAGAACAGCTCAAACTATGTCAAGATAAGTGCATCAGTCAATGTTTTGACAAACCTTCTCTTGTTCCTTCAAAGTCCTCTGAGTTTCATGCTTTTCTTCTTAGCTCAGTCTAATACCTTGTCTTTGTCATGAGAAACACTTATGTGAGCAAAGGTTTTGCCATATGTTACAGTATAGCTCAAAAGCAGGTTAAATTCTCTAGATGCTCCAAGAACTTTAGCTTCTCTGAGGTGGAGTTCGTACTTATTCTGCAAACTTGATTGTGTGGAAGCAGTGGCATTTTCTAATGACTAAGGAGATAAATGGGTTTTCTCCTTGGAGGACACCCCAGTGTTCTGCTGGTGTTGCATCTTCTCTGTAAAGCGTTCTTCTCTCTGTTTGATAAAGACACAGACTGACTTGGTGTGGATGACTCACCTGTTTATGCATATGAAAAGACACTTACCATGCTAACCATTTTTGTTTGTTTGTCCGTGTGTGTCTCTCTGCAGGCTGTGCAGTCTTACTCTTAAAAAGCTGGTGGTGATGAAGGAGCTTGATAAGGAGCTGATTTCTGTGGTCATTGCAGTCAAAATTCAGGTACGCTTTGCTTTCCAGCACTGTCTGATAAAATTCCCTGTAAACATTTCATCTCTAGTTTTGTATCAAACTACCTCCAGCAGGGTTGTGTACATTCTTTAAGACCAGATGTTTTCTCTCACAGGGCTCCAAACGCATTTTGAGGTCCCATGAGATCGTGCTGCCCCCTAGTGGATCAGTGGAGACCGATCTAGCTCTCACCTTCTCTCTGCAGGTAAAGCTAAACAAAAGCCACCATGATGGCACCATGTTGATGTTTGGAAGATTGTGGTAGATTTCTGTAACTATTCATCTCAGGCCTTATATGTAATATTTTGATCAAAGAAAACGTAGTAAATGCTTTACACTGGTCATTCTCTGTAGAAACCAGTGCAGTGATTTCTTCACTATAGTTTTCTGCTTTAGATTCATACATAATAACAGAGATTGCAACAAGTTTATATGATCAATTCCTAAAGAGAATGTGTAAGCAGGCTCTACATGTAGTTATGACCTCCAGACCAGCAGGGGGCCTCCAAGAGAAACTGACTTCTCATTCAGAATCTATTTTACATTCAGCTTTCTAAAGAACAAGTACTGACTATCTGCTCTACTATAGACATAAGTATAAGAGTAGACCCCGCATGGATCGCTTTCACCTATGGGCGCTGATTTGGTGGCGCCATATTGGTGTAATGTAATGTGTTGAGCAGGCCCAGAATCAGTTTTAATCACCTTTAACTTACTGAATATTTAACTAATTTTCACATTTATTTTTCATTCTTTTGGCTGAAACAAACAAATTGTTAAGTGTATTTAAATATTCTTAGCGGGGGTTAAGAGTAATAGAGTATTCTGATAGGATGTATGTATGTTGCAAAGTACAGCCACTCTTTTTATAATGTTTTTCATTACTACTCATTTATAGAGGTATGTAAAAATATCACAAATATATAAACACATATCTCTCTCTCTCTTTCTCTCTATCTCTCTCTCTATATATATACATATATATATACACATACATATATAATTATCTATGCCTCCCTCTCTCTCTGTCTTTCTTTCTATATATAAATATATATGTGTAGTGTATATATGATGTTTATTCAGTATATATTACAAAGCTCTGATGCCTTCACAAAGTTGTTCCTTAAGGTCTGATGTCAACAGTCTGCTGATTCAAATAGAAATATGCCGCACAGTGCTGTGGCATCTTTCTTCTGTTCTGCTTAAACCAGCAGGTTAGGGTAGCAGGTGGACCTCCGCAAGATGGCGCCCGTAATTTCTGCGCCGTGACAGTCAGAACTCTTAGTATGTACTTACCGGGTACATACTAGTCAAGGACAAAAAAAACGTACTCGTGTAATGAGGTTTGAGCAACGTCAAGAATTTTTGATTTGGTCACATCCAGTTTCCAAGTTCTTTCTTTACTGAAAAGCTGCAAACATTAATTACTCTTCTTTATTGACGCCTCAAAATCAGTATTAAACTATAATAATTTTAATTTATTAAAGTCAGAAGACATAGGTAGGATTACCATGATTGTGATCAATCTGTCTAATGATGCCTCCGCAGGCATATTCATAGATACTTTTCAGAAGCGTGACGTCAGGACGATTCCACCTCACCATCGCCGTAATGAGCACCAAACACTTAGCTTAGCTCTCTGGCACTTCTCCTCTGATCTGAATTGATCATTCTGATTTAAATCATGCAGAGAAAATCGCTGTTATTGGATGTGATCCATGCAAAGTCTCTGCAGACTTCCAACTGGCAGGCTTTCAGATTTTTCCTTTCACGAGAACAGATGCTTGTGGGTCATTGAACCAAAAATATGGCATCTGAAAAACTGGATGATATTTGTACGTAAAGCGAAGGAAAGTCCTGTTCTGCTGATTCAGTTACTTTATATAAACAGCTAAACACAGCTATGACGTTTCAAGCAGAATCTTCAGATCTTTGGCAAGTGATAAAGATAAATCGTTTAGTGTTGATTGATTTTAAGTAATTGAGCTTATTTGTTTTGGAAAAATGACATTTATTCCTGTTTTTTTGCAACAGAAACATATATATTTTGATCTAAAAGTCAAATTTTAATGGTCATTGTTGCATTTTTTCCTTGTTCCTGTTCTCTGTCAGTATCCACACTTCTTGAAAAGAGAAGGCAACAAGCTGCAGATAATGCTTCAAAGACGGAAAAGGTACAAGAACCGGACTATTTTAGGCTACAAGACTTTGGCCATGGGATCCATTGATATGGCAAAGGTATAGTGGAACAACACTGCAAGTAGCACTTAATGGTGTTTAAGTCATTTACTGCATATTTAAGTATTGTGGAGCCACTAGAGGGTGGAAGTAGGTGTGTGTGTGTGAATGGAGGAGATAAAAGGGCAGCAATGCTCCTCTGCTGCAGGTTGTGTTTGGTAGAGCCCAGTCAGGTGGGAGCAGAGGTGTTTCAGCTCTAACAGGCTGTTAGTGTCAAAGATTTGGAACATTTAATGAGTGCTGGAAGCTCCAACTGCATTTTGACAAATAACGCAAGACTTTGTCTGAAGTTCCTTGTTTTTTAAAGACTCCTGGCTTTCTAGATTCTCACAGTGCAAGAAAAACCGACCCAAATAAGACTGAAGGATGCTCTTTAGTCCTAAAGGTACCAACATTATCCAGGGTACCATCTTCTAAGACTTTAAGACAACAAGTCAGCTTCCTGTCAGGATTTGGGTGTGGTTTGTTGACCCAAATGCAGAGGCAAGGAGGCAGAGGTGATTTTCTTGTGGGTTTAATGAAAGGTTAAGTGAACACAGAGGCAGGAAATCCAAACAAGAAAACAAAGTCCAAACAAACCGGAAACCATGAATCCAAAATCCAAACATGAAAACATAGTCCAAACAAACCGGAAACCACAAATCCAAAATCCAAAAATCCAAACGTGAAAACAAAGTCCAAACAAACCGGAAACCATGAATCCAAAATCCAATAATCCAAACAACAAAAACAAAGTCCAAACAAACCAGAAACCATGGAGACATCGGGGGGGATACTGTCACGAGGAGGAAAGCTCAGAGAGACGGAGTTGGAGGAAGTTAGACGAGGAACCAGCACTAAAGAACTGCACAGAGAGAGTATTTATGGGAGACTGAAACAAAGAGAGGGCTAATGAGCAGATTGGGAGCAGGTGTGAACAGAGCAGAACCAAGGAAAGGAGCTAGGTAAAAAGGAGAACACAAGAGGGCAGCAGAGGGCAACAAATAAAAACCTGAGAACTGAAAATAACCGGAAAACACAACTAAATAAAAATGAAACCACTAAAACTAGAAAACATGGTTCAAAGTAAAACAGAATACTCAAAAGGAAACATAACAGAACCAAGAATATAACACTTTCTGGGTTTATAGGCCTTTCAACTCCCCATTTATCTCTTCCTGTTGGGTTATCATTTCAAATCCTAACAAAATATTTTGTAGTTTGTGTTTTAATGTCAAAATTTTATTTAAAAAAATGTTTGTGTAGAAATTCAATTACCGAGAAACTGTTTTGTCTGGAGATGCATTCGGTCTGACTCTATCCAAAAGTCAAAGTGGGCTCTGAAGTTAAAAATTCACTCTTTTAGACACAATAAACTCATCAAATAGCCATATGGTAGGCTCTGCTCTAAAAAAGCATGAATTACAAAAATAAAAAGCTTGATTTCATTGCACATGATGCTGATACACAAAAGAGATCCCATATGGCTTCCAAAGCTCAGTGGGGCTTGTTAAGGCACAGCAGCTGAGAGAAGAAACAAAAAACATTGTGGAGTCTGAGTGAGGGATGAAAAAAGAGAAATCAGAATAGAGTTTTACTGAACCACAACGTAGAGACACATTAATTCTCAGCTGAAGATGCAAAGATGTGTTTTTATGGAGGCTGCAGTGCGACTCAGAGGCTTCTCTGAATACTAAAGGGAGTAATGAATGTGAAAATGTGAGATCTTACTGCTATGTTGCTGTCAGATCATCCAGATCTCCTGCACCTGCTCCAATGATGCCTCTCAAACTGTGCAGTGTAGCAGAAAACAGTGACCCAGGTGTGCTTTTAGTCACAGAGCAACACTTTCCTATTGGAACACTGGAACTATCTATAAATAAGCTATTAAAATAATAAGTTTTATATGTTTTATAAGCCTTTCTATTCTAAAGGACAGCAAATATAACCTCTATTACTGGGGAACTGACTCATTTTCCTTTTTATAAATCATTTAATGCTCTGAAAGGCCACATTTTTTTCTTCATTATGGTTTTTCAAAGGTTTTAATCAAGTTGTTTTCAACTTAGTGTTTTATCATACTTGTAGCTGGGTTTTTAATTAGCTTGAAAGCCTTTCACTTTCCCTCCACTCCTGCATTAATTAGTTTTTTCCTGCGTCTCCCAGGTGATGCAACACCCGACAGAGGGAGGTCAGGTTCTGCCTCTCTGCAGCAGTCAGAAAGACTTGCTGGGCAAAGTGGCAGAGATCTGGATCTTTTCTCTGTCCAGTCAGCCAATAGACCACGAGGAGGCCGCCCTGCAGGAAGGACAGAAGATCAAATGCTCGGGTAGGCTTAACCTTCTGTTATCCGATGCATGATGCTGTCAGACTGGTTTAGCTCCTTTGAAATAATTTGTAAAGCAATAAAGAAAAAACAACTAATTAGCTTATAGATGTGGATTTTATTTTAATTCAATAACAACCTTTGTTTTCCTGCTTTTTTTCTCTGTTAGATAACTACTCAGAGGAAGAGTATGAGAGCTTCTCGTCAGAGCAGGAGGCCAGCGATGACGCAGTGCAGGGACAGGTGAGCGCCGCTGCTAATCAGTTTGGTTTTTAAAGCTCAGGAGAAGAATTGGTTTATGCAGCTGTTAAAAATACTGAGAAGGAATAAAAATGACTCTGGGCCTGAACTCTGCTTCATCTTTTTTAGGATCTTGAGGACGATGAGTTTGATGTGAGGAAACCAAAGAAGCAGAGGAGGTCGATAGTGAGGACTCCCTCTATCACCAGGGTAGGAGATGTAAGATGAGACCAAGAAATAATAATTAAAAAAGAAAAGAAAACGAACCCCCGGCTGCGTTTCTCAACACTAACACAGAGGTCTCTAGGTTTTTATTTCTTTGGTCGGTGCTGCAATCAGCTGCAGGAAATAAACCTTTAAGAAATACTTTTTACAGCAGACACCTCAGGGTTGATTGGGTTTAGAGTTCACCTTCTTCCCATACAACTACAGCTAGAAATATTTTGCACTTATTTATGCTTTAAGCTTAACTACAGCACTGCACCATGAGAACAAGCACTATGCATAAAAACTAACTCCCAGGTAATCTGCTGGAGGCAAATCAGATTTATCCAGGTTTGCTGAATAAGCCTTGTTAGATAAGCCTCTTTTAATTTCTGATAATGGATGCCCTCCTCTATCTTTGCTCACTACATCACATAAATGTAAATCTTATTTTTAGAGTAGCCTCAGTAATAGCCTCTGAGGGCTTCACACAGTAGTTTGGAGCTTCTGGAAGCCCTTTGTTACTCTGGGTTTTATTTCAGCTCCGTATTAAAGCACCATTTTGAATCCGAGGCGTAGATCACACTGACTCTGTTGGTTTCTGTTCCGGCATTTTAGCAGCAGAACTTCAAGCAGCGAGTGGTGGCTCTGCTGAAGCGCTTCAGAGTTTCTGATGAGGTATAGTTTTCTTTTTCAGTGTATTTTCCAAAGAGTCTCCGCCTGTCTTGTGACTACAGGTGTGATGTGTGTGATTGTGAAGGTGCTGGACTCGGAGCAGGACCCAGCAGAAGCGCCTCCTGAGGTGGAGGAGGAGGACCTGGATCTGGACAGCGTGGAGTTTGAGAACCCAAGCGACAGCTGCCCGGAGCTGGACGATGACGACAGCGTCCTCAGCACACCAAAACCCAAACTGAAGTGAGCCTCAGCCGAATGATTCTAGCTTCTCACTGTTGACTTTAGATGTTTCACATGTGGGCCACCGCTGCAGGCTGGTTAGGAAACATTTTCCATGAGGCACGAAAAACCATCTTGTTTAAAATTTGGTCTTTGAAATCTTCCAATATTCATGTTTGAGAGACGAAGCACCTCATATCAGTAACTTGAACATTTTCACATACATAATGCAATAAACAAATTTTGATAATTACATCAAACCATCTTACACCTGTCATGAACATGAAGGTATCTTAATGAATGTCTATGCCTTTTTAGTAAGTGTTACTAGTTGCTAAGATGTCATTAAGAGTTAATATATTGTCAAATGCTTTAATAAAATAGTCATTATCACTGTGTAATGTAATGTTAAAGGGGAACACCGTTTTTTTTCCATTGGTCCCTTGATTTTACGTTATTCTTCAGAACGGCTCCAAATGACACTAAACTCAGATGGGTGAGTAGAACATGATGGAATAACGGAAAATCAAGGGACCAATGTAGAAAAAACAGTGTTCCCCTTCAACACATACATCTTTAAAACTTTGAAAGATTTTTATTTGTGATTAGTTATCATTTCTTGATTAATGTCAAATTTTCTTTACAAAGAAATGTAAGCAAAATAAACTTTTCATTAAAAGTGTTATAATCAGTGATGGGAGTAACGGAGTTGAAAGTAACACCGTTACCTTGTTTTAGTAACGAGTAATCTAACTAATTACTTTGACTGTAACTATAACGCAGTTACCATTGCCGACACCCCGTTACTGCGCGTTACTCAGGTCGCACAGTTAACCTTTTTTTCATGACAGGACTGTGCGCGCCTTGTCATGAGAGAGGAGAGGACTCACCGCGCAAGCGATAGGAAACGCACATGCTCGCTAAAGGCGCGTAACTGCCTCCCTGTTCACCGCGACACAGGGGAACTACAGATAGAGTGAAGGATCAAATGTTAGCCTATATGGAGAAAGATAGATAGATATAGATAGATAGATAGACAGACAGACCTGAACGCCCTGTTAAAAAACTTCACACCCATGAGGTAGAGGTAATGCAGCCTGATGATATTTACACACATCAGATAGCGTTCCCCCCATGTTAAGCAGAGGAACGCTATCTGACAGGGTTTATAGGCCCATCAGATAGCGTTCCCCCCTGATGTCATTTACGTTGAGTTGCAATAAATGCAAAACTCTCTGCAGGTTCTTGTCTTTGTCGTCCGCTCTATTCAGCTGGCTTTGGAAACACACGGCGAGAAGGTGGGGGCCGGGTGGGGAGAGTTACGGGGGCGAGAAACGCAAAAGTAACGCAATAGTTACTTTTACTAGTAACTAGTTACTTTTATTGGGGAGTAACTCAGTTATTTTTGGGAGAAGTAACTAGTAACTATAACTAATTACTTTTTCAAAGTAACGTGCCCAACACTGGTTATAATTAACCAGCGAGAATCAAATCATAAACGTTTATAAACATGTTTTTTCTCTGTTACTCCTAAATAATATAAGGACGCTCTGTTGTTTCAGATAATATCTTGTTAGGGATGGAAAATATATATCAAAAACCTGTTTCGGTTATTAAATTATCCCCTGTTAATGTTAAGGAGGACAGTTTGAAATAAAATATTTCTCATCGGGTGCCTGAATTCACTTTGTGTATTCCAATATGACAATCAGCCTGACGTCTCACTGCAGCAGATGCCCTGTTAAAGAAAATAAAAAATGGAGGAATCTAAATAAGTTTGGAATGAACTGGTAGAAAAAAAATGCATTAAAAAAATCTAATTTGGGAAAAGCCATAAGAATTCCTATTTTCGTTCAGAGTTCCTTTTATTTAAGTAAAAATATTAGACTTTTCAAGATTGTACTTTCCAGAGTTTCCAGTCCTTTAACTTTACCTTAAGATATAGATTGTTAGTGTCCTTTTGTTTATACCAGATGCTCTGACTGTTTTCTTTGTTATGGACTGTAATGTTCTGTTTTTTGTTCATTACAAAAGAAAAACAATTAAAAATAAAGTTTAAAAAAAAGATATAGATTTTAAATGACTGTGTATCTATAGTAAATAGTTCTACAGTGAACAGTTTAGATTTATTCTAAAGGAAGTAAGAAAGGAGGGGTGAAAAGTTGTAGATGGACATCTGTTGGGTATTGCCAAACGCTAACAAGCTCCTTAACACTCAGATGAGGTGTGAAGTATAAATAAATGAGCTGCTAGTCAGAGAGTCTTTCAGCTGAGATGTTTTCATACCGACCCTGTAAATCATCTGTGAAGAGAAACATGATGTGTTTTAGATGAGATGGATAATTGGAAAAGGTTAAGCTGTGTTTCTCTTTCAGGCCATATTTTGAGGGATTGTCCCTTTCAAGCTCCCAGACTGAGATTGGCAGCATCCACAGCAGCCGGAGCCACAGAGAGCCCCCAAGCCCAGTGAGTTTCTCCCCACACCCTGCATCAGGCAGCCTAAGATCTGAGCTCTAATAAGTCTGCATGAACTGGTCTCCCATTTATTTTACATTAAATGTATGTTGCTAATCGTGACAGTGAAAATGCCCTCACACCACGATGGGTCCCAAACTGTCTTAGCTGAGCCAACAGGAGGTTGAAAGAAGTCGTTTTTTTCCTTCAAGATGGAGAATTGCAGCTGGAGCTGAAAGCTGACTTCAGTTTCTGCTAAAACAGCTAAATATGGAGCTGCTGCTACAAATATTAGGCTCACAGTTTATTAGAAGAAAGGCAAACAATTTCTTCAATTGGAGCATATCATTCAAAAATAAAAAGGAAATTTAGTAACGTTTTAGGGGACAATATTTTCTTATAAAGGCAGGTGGGTTTAGTGTTCTTCCATGTTATGAATAAGCTCAGTATTTGTCTTTGTTTTCTGCCTAAAATACAAACAAATCACATATTAAAAATCCAGTAACAGTTAATCTGAGAAACTGAAAAACTTCTGTTGATATTTCTGGGGCTCAGTTTCAAGCATAGTTATTGTTCTTCCTGCCGCCTCATGTTAGATCGATCTGGATAAAACTAAAAGCGGCGACGACAGTTTTCCAGACGATGGAGGGCGTGACAACTCCTCTTATGTGAGTACAAACTCAGCCTTCCCCAGACCTGCATAGGACCTTCGTCTTTAACTCTTTACCTCCACATCTGGTCATCTTTCTGTTTTCCTTCAGGAACAGCCAGAGGCGGTGACTCCCACCACAGAACTAGAGATGGACAACATGGACACGTTTTTAGAAAGCCTGCCACCAAGTGGCAAAATGACCAAAACAGAATCCCTTATCATTTCATCCAACAGGTATGTTAAAATGATCACCTTTGTTAGAAAAAATCCACTTTAAACGTTTCCATCATTAGAAGATATTTTCCATTTGGTGAAAGTATCTTGAATAATTGTCCTTGCTTGTTTATCTATTTATTCTGTCTTTTTTAAGGCAGGAAACGAAGCTGGCGGGACGGAGAGGTCGGAGCACATCCCTGAAGGAGCGCCAGCCCAGCAGGCCCCTGAATGAGAGGGCCAACAGCCTGGACAATGGGCGGGCTCTGGACACACGCTGCCACCTACAGGTAGGAGAAAGCAACTGCAGCTCTCTTCAGCTTTGTTACTCAGAAAGAATTTCAGCATAACTACATTTCTGAACATGTCTTATTTTATGCTTCAGTGAGGAAGTCACTTAAAAGGCAGATGGAGATTAAATAAATATATAAAATAAACAACAATTGTGGATTTTAGAATTAGAAAGGAAACCAACCAGAGCCTAACAAAATCATTTTCGTTGAATTTATCCAGATCCCAAGAAAAACGGTTTATGACCAATTAAACCACATCCTGGTGTCTGATAACCAGCTTCCTGACAGCATTATCCTCATCAACACATCCGACTGGCAAGGTCAGGTAAGACATTCTAAAGATGAGCAATAAGACTGATTGGAAAGATAAACGGCTGAATAGTCCTCATTTATGACTCCGGCCATTCAGACACAGTTTACCTGTCAGGACTTAAAATGAAAAGTAAGAAAAAACTGTGAATGTCTACTTTTTTTATATAACACTTTACAGCAAACAAGTTGCACTGAAGTCTGTCCTAACCAGCCGACGCCAAAATGTGATGTGATGTTCGGTGTCCACTTCTTATGCTACGTTCAGACCGCAAGCAGCAGGAGCAGCTAAAACACATGCGCTGCTTTATTTTTGATGCTTGTACCAGTTTAGTTCTGACGCGCGGCTGAAGCATCTTTGCAGCTGCACGGTGGAAAAGTGGGTCTGATGCGCGGTGGGCGGAGCTACCCTATCCTTTCTCTGCCTGGAACAATGGCAGCTATATTAGCTGTGATCAGTGGGTGAAAAGTAGTTTCAATATGTTTTGAAGTGAGAAAGTCCTCCTGAAAACTTCATCTCTGCAGTCAGTTCATCCAGATTATCATCCTACCGTCAAAAATTATTTCGTTGTCGGAGCCGCTCAGACCGCCACATACCGGCGGTGCGCTGTCACTAGGAATCCCATTCAACTGCAGCCTCTAGCCAGTCGCCTCCTCGCGGTTTGCCATGGAACCTGGAAGGCGTTTTTTATGTACGTGACCCAAACTGCAGGCACCAGGATAATAAAAGCTGACATATTCTGCCGACAGGTTTCTCCATTTGAAGTTAATTTAGGCGTTAATAAACTGTTTCAGAGGAGTGATCATAGCGCTCTGCATCAGCAGTGCTGCGTCTGACTCCTTGTCAGCTCCCAGATCAGCTTCTCTGATTGGTTGATGTGGCGCGTCGAGCAGCAAAAGTTAAATTTTTCCAACTCCAGCAGCTGCTGCGTATGCTGCAGGACCTTTGGCTGCGCCTTGATGCGCGTCAACTATTGATTTTGCATGTAAACAAGCTGCTCCTGCTGCCTCTGCTGCTTTAGGTGTGAACGTAGCATTAGGGTTGGCAAAAATGTTAATAAATAAAATCGTTTTCAGACTTTTATACAGAGTAAATATTGCAGTGTTAAAGTAACACTCAAGAGTACATTTGGTCCCACTCTGAATTAGTCTGGGACCAAATGTACTCTCAAAGTTTTACTTTAACACTGCAACATCTACTGTGTATGTTGCTCTGTGGACACACGCCCTATTGGCTGTGTGTTTGAACAACAAATTAAAGTGTGAATCGAGCTCAAATCATGGCCAAACAGATAATTCTGCACAGATATGGAATAAATTTACCACAACTTCCATTTAAATATAAGAGTTTATTCAATAGAATCAATCAGCTCCAAGACAAGCCTACTTCAGTTAAAAACTCTTGACTAAAAGTAGTGAGAATCAACTACTCTGAGCTACTTTGTATATAAAGAAGAGGGAAAAACATGGTTAAAAACCATAATCAATTAAATGATGTAACGACATCACAGTTCAACATGGATTTTATGTTTGACTACCAAAGTTTATCTTGAAGAATTTGGAATGTGATCAACGTAGCTGTTGACTAATTTAGAGCAAATGGAATGTGTTCAAACTAACTGGCAATAAAAATCCAAGAGATAAAAAAAAAAAATCATTATTGAGCAAAACAATGTTTTATGAAACGATTTGTTCAGTTATAAACCAATAACCTTTAGTTAATTGATTCCTCACCCTCTTTAATTGAGCTCGTAGCTGGCAGACATGAGGCTACTCCTCTTAACGGAGTCCTTGGTCATAATTTGTTGATCAAAAGGCGATGAGCCTATGAGAAAACGCATGAACGTTAACGTTATTATTAGTGTTTAAACCTTTAGAGAAATAAAGCTTATTTTAGCTCAAAATGTGCCGTGCCATGCGTTTCATCTTGTTAAGTTGTCTTTATACATCAGCAAAGACATGAAATGATCAAAAATCATCAGAAAGACAAATGATTTAACTGGGAAACTCTACCTGTGCTGGTTTCCATTTATGAAAGGGTTGTTTCCTCCAGTTTTCAGCAGCTTAGCACGGCAGGCTACAGCAGGGGGGGAAGGACTTTCTGTGTTCTCTTTCTCCAACATCCAGTCAGCATCTGAAAGTTTCTGAAAACTCTGAAAAACTTTTCAAACTGTCTTTTTTTGCAGCAATTTTGGTTCTAAATTAGCCGCCAGGTCCACTTAGCCTTTGATCAGTTAGCAGTTTCTGCTCCTCAGCATGGGGCCATCAGTGATGGCTTCCTCTCTAAAGGGATCCTCGTCATTCTAAGCATCTCTAATGTGGATCGGTCAATTAATCCACAGATTTGGGGCAGCAGTAGAGAAGGACAATCACCTTATGTTTTCTGATCGGTTCTCAGAACATCTAGAAACCAACTGGCTGTTGGACATCTGTGTTCTGGTGGATGTAAGAGCTACATTGGATCTTTTTAAACATTATAGGGCAGACCATTACGTCATTTAAAAATAAGCAGGAAGAGAGTGGATAGAAGCTGGAACTGGAGTTATATGTTTCCGTTTTGTTGTTCCATTTTCCATGAGCTGAAAGGGGTGAAGGAATGACGGATCTAAACGCATGTTAGTGGAATTACAGTATATATAAAAAAAAGATTAATATTTTTCAATCGTTGGAGGATTTCAAAGGATCTAAGGCTACTTGTCATGATTGTTTCCTATGTGGACTTCTGTTCGTGTTTCTTTTTAAGTTTTCGGTTCAACTTTGATTTTTGTTATTCCGTGTTTTCTTGGTCATTCGTTTCTTTTCCATTTTGTGTTATTTTTAAGCAGTGTTGTAGTTTTTGAATTGCTCTCTGTTCCCTTAGATCCTTCTGGTTTCTTTCGTTTTACACCTGCTACCTATCAGATAATTAGTCCTCCTATACTTCTCCTGTTCAGTGACTCTTTGCTGGTTTCTCATTGTTTCTTGGCTCCTCGTGTGTTTTTTCCCCCTGACGTCTCCTGGTTTTTGGTTTTCTGCATTCTGTTTTTAGATTTATTTCTGTTGCCATTAAATCAGCAAAAACTCATCCCTGCATTTGGGTCCTCAGCTAACCTAACCTGACACTACTTTAGCGAGGCATTCCAGACTGCAAAATGTTTGTTCCTTTATGAATGGGCATTTAGATTTAAATGTCATCAGAAAAGCAGTGGAGATATTGTCATGAGGCGGTGTTTGTTAGGAGGACCCAAATGCAGAGACCAGTAGGCAGAGGTGAATTTAAGTCGGTTATTGAAGTTCTCAGATCCAAGGGCAGGAATAAAAGTCCAACAGAAAAATTCAAACGCACCTGAACCAAGGAGACATCAGGGGAAAACCAAAACTATGAGCCAGGGAGAGACGAGGTAAGCAGACAGACGTTAGACGAGGATCCAGCAAACAGGAACTGAAGAGGGAGGGCTTTTAAAGGGGACAGAGACAAAGAGAGGGCTAATGAGGGAATTGAAAACAGGTGAGGACAGAGCAGAAAAACAGAGCAAGGGAAAGAGCACACAAGAGGGCAGCAGAGGACAACAAAAAAAACAAGAAAAACAGGAACAAACAGACCAAGACTCTGACAGATATGATATTCCCTAGAAAGGGCGGAACATATCTAAGCAAAATAAGAGCAGTCTTAGGTTGGATGCTGCTCCAAATTCTAAGGTTTTTCTTTCTATATACATTTAAAATGTTGGTCATTGTTGCTATATACTGTATATGTGACGTTATTGATTTCAAAGCGTTTTAATAATCTGCACACCTTCTTTACTTTTTAACTTGTTTTGTTGTTCCCTCTCTTAGTATTTGTCAGATTTACTGCAGAATCACCATCTGCCAGTGGTCTGCACCTGCACCACAGCAGACATCCAAGCTGCTTTCAACACCATTGTTTCTCGCATCCAAAGATTGTAAGTCCAACCTTCACTTTAATCTGTTAAGTAAAGGTGTACAAAGTCATAACGCACTAATTATTATATTTCGTAGCTGCAACTGTAACTCCCAGACGCCCATTCCAATAAAGATTGCAGTGGCTGGAGCGCAGCACTACCTCAGCGCGGTTCTGAGGCTTTTTGTGGATCACCTCACCCACAAGACTCCTGACTGGCTCGGCTACATGAGGTTCCTCATCATCCCTTTGGGTTAGAGACAGTCTGGCTTAATATTTACCTTTTTATGAGATTGGCTCAGGAAGCTTTAAGAGGATTTGAAAAGTCTCCGTTGTCCTCAGGTGTACATCCAGTCTCCAAATACCTCGGCACCATTGACTCTCGCTACAACAGTTTGTTCCAAGATACTGCCTGGAGGGATCTGTTCCACAAACCAGAAGCTCCTGTAATCGGTGGGCTGTTGCATTCAAACATCACTACACACATTTCTGTTTTTGTTCACAATCTAAAAACAGGGAAAAACTTAATTTTTACCAAGTCATGTTAGATTATATTTTCCCACCTCTTTAACTTTTCCACATTGTTACTGCAAACCTATTTTAATGGGATTTTTTTTAGACCAACTAACCGAGAAAAATAGGGCCATAAAGGTTCAAACACAAAAAATATTGTCAATTTAAAAAGTGTGAAAAATACTCTGAATCATCATCCTTTCAAACTCCCATATAAGTGAAAAGAGTCCATGGTAACAGCAGAGATCATCAGCTCAGGTGGGACAATCTGTCCACAGCACCAGCATTAGTGAACAAATCTGGATTTCCTGTCTGTTTGGCTGTGACTCCATCCTGGAAAGAAACATCAGCTGTGCTGCTGCCATCAACACCCTTGTTTATAGATGCTGGAGATCAGCCTGTTTTCCAGTGTAGTCCTGTTTCTCTGACTGTGACTAACTGGATGTGCTCTCTTCGTCCTCTGGCATGGGAGCTGGCTCGGAGCTCGTCTGCCTGGCTGTGTGTTTCCTGGACGGGGCCGCCTTTTACAGCTGCTTTTTCTATCTCTGCTTCTGTCTCCTTGAACCCCAGTGGGCCTCAGCAGATGGCCGCTCACACTGAGCCTGGTTCTGCTGGAGGTTTCTTCCTGTTAAAAGGGAATTTTTCCTCTCCACTGTCGCTACAAGCATGCTTAGTGTGAGGGATTGTATTTGAGTCAATGAGTCGATGCAATCAACTGGTTTTCCTTAGATTGAAAACTTTGAATCAATCTGACTGGATGATCTGGTTGAACTGGAAAGTGCTTTGAGATGACGTGTGTTGTGAATTTGGCGCTATAGAAATAAACTGAATTGAATTGAAATTGAAAATTTTGTGTAATGATAGTGTATTATGAAATTTAGGCAGGACCGGGATGAGACGGTAATAAAAATTAACACACAAACTGTTTCTGCTACAATTAAAATGTGTTGTTTTATTCCGCCACAGAAAACAGCAAAGCAAGCACATCAATCAAGGCACGGTGCTGAATACAAATTATTAGTGATGCACGATATTGGGATTTTGGCCGATATCCGATATGCCGATATCTTAAAACTCATGTAGCCGATAACCGATATCGATACCGATGTTAAAGCTGGTAGTCATTGAAAATAGCAGTTTTGTTATTCATTTCTGACACTTTGAAAAATAATATACTCAAATATATTTTCATATGTTGATATCAAATAGATTTTTAAAAACGCGGTATCGATCTCTTTTACTTTCTAAATCTCGTGAAATGTCATCGTTCTGTTACAAACTCTCGTGATATTTTGCAAATTCTTGTGAGATTTTGTTAGTAAAATAGATCGATACCGCGTCAATATATCAACATATAAAAATATGGCAACATTTGGTGAATTTTCGGGGGATTTCGTAGCATAACGATGACATATAGCAATATTTCATTAGTAAAAGAGATTGATATGGTGTTTTTAAATGGCAATATATCAGCATATGAAGATATTGGGATATATTAATGGATCAATATTTTTTCCCTCGTCTTTAGAAGTTTTTAAGTCTGTAAAAAAGAAGTTTTTGAGGAAGAAGAAGTAGTATTTATTTTATTTTTTTAGACTTTAGAAACTCAGAAGCTGATCAAATATCGGGTTAAATATCGGTGGGGGGGCCGGTGTCTGATATTCAGTTTTAAGGCCGATACCGATAGGGGGCCGATTATATCGTGCATCCCTACAAATTATACTGTCTAAATACAAATTATATTGTCCCCCTACCGTGACACAAGGATCGGAGGGCCGGTCGATCCCGGCAGGGCAGCAACCCGCGCAGCTAGGCGTCCGTACGCAACCCTAGCAGACCCCGCCGGTGTCAACAAGCCCCCGCCATTTATGCCACACTTCAAAGTAAAATCTTTCACCCAATCAGGAAAGGTGACCGCTCCCTCTCACGATTACAGAAACCAAGATATGGAACCGGCATCCCCCGAACCCACCCAGGGCTCTAGGACAGTCGAAACCGAAAACAAAATGACATAATGATCAGATACAAAAACAAGTTACATCATGCCCAGTACCTGGTACCAATCACTGATTCATTACCTCCCCAGAGCTACTGACCCTCCCCAGAGCTCATTATGCCCAGTATCTGTTCCCCAGAGCTCATGGACACAGTGTAAAAAAAACATGTTCTTCATTTGTGATACAAAACTTGTATGATTGTCAAAGAACATAAGATATAAAACCCATATATATCAGATAGCAAAAAGAAAGTCAATGTTTAAAGAAAAGAACCAGAAGTCTTGTTTAAAAATTGTAGGGGATGAAGGAGGTGGACTTATAGCCAAAAGTGTTAGGCCTGCATGCAAATTATTATCAGCCTGAGCCTCGCCATTGTAAAGCATGGTTATGGGAGCATCATGATGGTTGGCTACTTTTATAAAGAAAGGGCAATAAAAACTTAAATAGATTTAAATGATCTTTTAGCTAGAAGTGGTATGAATGTTTTGGAGCGGGCCCTACTAGACAGAGATGCATCAATCCGATTCCTGGATCGGATATCGGCTCTGATATTGACTAATTAGCTGGATCAGATATTGATCTCATTGATCTGATATCGGAGGTCCAATCCACAGCTCATTAGATGGAAATGTTATTTCTTTCTTTTTAATTTTTATTTGTTCATAAATAATTTAAACTGCATTTATACCTTTGAACGTTTGTTAGCTTTTTTTTTTTAAACTATATTCGTGTCAGGGCTAACTCCTTCACTCACATGTCAAGATATATGGTTCATTGTAGGGGTGGAACAGTTCACAGAATCCACGGTTGGGTTCGGTTCGCGGTTTCGTGGTCACAGTTTTCGTTTCGGTATATGTTGATTGTTAGGAAAATCTTTTATGTCTTGTATAGTACAACACAATGCTCGCACACTGTTGCACATTTATCCTCAACTTTCTTCCCGCCGTCATCGTAGGTCACTCTAAATGCAAAGTGATCCCATACAGCAGACCTATAAAGTGCTGCTGGCGCGTCTTCCAACTCCTGTTCTTTCCCACTCGCCATACCCACACAATTCTCCACAACAACTGATTTTTTTCTGCTACACCCGGCTACGCTGCTTCGCTTCTTCTTCTTCTTGTTTACTACTGGTGGTTGGCTTTGGTTGCAGTACCGCCACCTTCTGCTCTGGAGTGTAAACGCTTCGCCTATGAGAAAAAGGAGCAGCGCATGAACCGAACGAAACACACGCGAACCGAACCGAGACAGTCAAACCGAACGGTTCAGACTGTTTTCATAAACCGTTCCTTCCCCAGTTCATTCATCCAACAGCTGAGTTGGATCAGTATCAGATATCGGCCGAGACGCTCAGCCAAGGTATGGGAATGTATCGGAAAAATCTCGATCTGTGCGTCTCTACTACAAGAGGTCTGTCAATCTGATGATGGTGATGACAAGGAAACCTTCCACTCTTGGAGCTCATCACCAAAGCTAAATTGTCAAAATAAAGGTGAAAGCAAAGAAAAAAGCTGCTTAACAGTTGAAAAGGGGGTTAGACTGGTGTCTCATTGATTATTAAGGATATACCTAATTTGAAAAGCCTTTTTAAAATGAATCGTAAAAAGCAATAGATATTTTTTTTCCTGTCTGGTCTTTCCCTCAAAACTGAACGTTATTCTGTCACAACCACTAATTATAGTCTGTTTCTCACAGAGTGTGAATATCTATGCAGGGCACGTTGTTTTGTTCTGTTGCAGTCAGATAATGGGTACTAATCATCCTCTGCAGCTCAGGAGAGCCCTGATGTCGTGTCAAGGGTCAAGCAGTACATGGAAGGAGCTAACGGAGCCCACCAGCTTCCTATCGCAGAAGCCATGCTCACTTACAAGCAAAGGAGGTAAGATTTGGTTTTGTTTTTTCAGCCTAATTTTGATTGGAAGATAACTCACAGTGATTAATATCTGTAATATTACAGCTGAAATATGTCTAAAATGTTCTAAAAAAGACTACCAAGGTCTCTGTGCTTCCTCTAACAAGTGGTTCTGGTGTAGAAATCATTGTGTTTTCAAAAGGCGGTTTAAGATAGACTAGATTATGAACAGTAATACTGAAATTAACATTTACATATATCTATACAAAGGAAACTGGAAAAGATAAACAGTTTGCTTTTGCTGAGATTATTTTACAAGTTAGTTAAACTTACAAGTTAAAACTGTTAATAACTGATAGAAAATAGCAAAAATATAACTGCTTTCCCTTCAAGGCCGCCCTTTGGAAACAAAATGAGGTTAATGTCTCACTATTGGTATGGGGCTTGCAAAAGTAATGATGCACCTTAAGTGTTTTTCACAATCAACCACAAAATATCTTATCTTTTATTGGTATTTTACATCATACACAAACACTAATGACATGTAACTGTAGGTAGAAGGATTTTTTATGTATCATTTGATGCGTTGCATGAAATAGTTCACTGCTCCCTGAGTTTATACTTTTTAGAACAAAATAATTTAGCAGTCACAGTTAGAAATCTCGTAGCATAAGTCTGTACAGATCTATTTCTAGTGACTTTCTTTTCAAACAGCTGAAGCTTAGTTACCTTGCAAGCAAGAGGAATTGTCGCGAGATGTGTGAATTCTCAAACTCCTAAAAATACATATTGCCAGGAGACAGCAGATGCCTTCGTCTCGAAACAGAAATGTTTCGGACCAATAAAATGCAGCGACGTGTATGACATCAGCGCATCAACCAGAGGCGGAAAACTGAAGCAAAACAAACTATACCTGTTTTAGCTGAAATACTACGATGGACTATTAGGGCCAGGCTAGAGTTCTTTTATTCATTCTTTCAAGGATAACGTCGTAATAATATGAGAATAAAGTTGTAACATTATAAGTGTCATGATTTTATCAAACGATCTGACCCACATGCAGAAAACCGAACAGAGAGACCAGGGGAAGGTTTAACAGGTTATTTGTGAGTTGGTAGAGAGGAGTCCAGTGCTGCTCTGAACACTGGCGAACCGGGACTGAAAAGTGAAGGGGAAGATTCTGCGGTTAGTTCAGGCTCAGTGGGAAATTTGTGTCTTTGATTTGAAAAAGGGAATAAAGGCAACAGGACTCACGTTTCCAGAAAAAGGTGTCTTTCGTTGAATCCAGTCGCTGTGGGTTGTTCCAGTAATAGACTTGTTCATTGGAGGGCGGACAGGGTTTACCCAGGTTGCGGTGTTTCCTTGAGGAACGGAGGAGCTGACTGCCACTTAGATTTCCTGCAGTACTTGAACGGTTTCTTGTGGAGATGAATCCCCTGCTCAGAGAGAAGCCCAAACAATCCTTTGGGGAAAAGTTGATCCAAACCACCAGTTTGAATCCTCAGCTCAGTTTGACGCTCAGAGAATCCTTCCAGGGGGAGAAGGTCAGAAACATCCAGTTTGCAGGATGACTTCCGGCGTCGAGGTAGTGGCAGTAAGCAGCTTAAGAGTCCTCCGGTAATGAGGCCACCATCCGCAGGTGTGTGAGAAGGCCAACGAGAACCAGGCGCCACCTGGTGGTGGGGGGAAAACAAACAAAAAACACAACCCACACAAACTGGATTCCTAACAATAAGAATAAAGTCATAACATTACGAGAGTAAAATCTTAACATTACAAGAATGAAGGAATATCATGAGAATGAATTAACATTTCCACGTCATTTAGTTTAGCTATATTACAACTTTATTCTTTTAATATTACAACTTTTTTCTCGAAAAAAGAAAAAATCTCTAGCCTGGCCCTAATACTCCGTCGTAGGAATGCCCTCTCTTTCCTTTTGAAAAATTAGTAAACTCTGCCAGTTATATAACAAATTAAGCTGCTACTGCTGCTGTGATTGGCTGAAAAACCCAACATGGGAGACAGGTACCAAATCAGCCCGAAGAATTGTTCTGAATGTCTGAATTTTTATGGGATCCTTCCCAGATTGATACCTGTAGTTCAGTTTGAATCCAACACGGCACCAATCTGGCTTCTGCCAGGTTAGAAGCTGAATGAGTTCCTTCAGAACCATTATTTTTCCAGGAAGAAATTGATTGGGATTATTATTCTCTTTAACAAGGATTGGGAGCTTCTATCATTTGAATGTTTCACTTACTTTTAACCAGCTTAAGAAACTGAGTTTTTTAACAAATTGACCAGCAAAGTTGCACAACCTGTGTGTTGGAGGCTACCTCTGTGAGAATGTGTGATTTGACCGTATAGTTGTGCTTTATTAGGTGTTTATCCAGGGCTGCCCTGCATGGGTGGGGGGCCAACAGGGGTCAGTACCTCTGAAGAAATGGTCCCGGCCCTGTTATGGCCCCTGCTCTGAAGACATAATACTAAAACAATCTCTAATGATGACATTCTCTGGAACAGGCGCAGTGACTTCATCTTCTTCTTTACAGCTCTGTTTTAAATATTATCTAAAACCTAAGGTCATAGCTTCAGTCATATTGAGGATCACAGTTTGTATCCACTAAATGTTATTTTGAAAGAATTTTTAAAAAATACTTAAAAAAAAGATCCTTATAATTTCTTAGTTTTACTTATGTTTTAATTCTGATTTAGTTCAAACTGGAAATTGTCGTTTAAAATAAGTTAACAATATGTAATAGTCCTGAACTGTGATTGTACGTTGACACCATAGTCCAAAGAATAGCTTCATTTTATCTTTTAGTAGATATTAATTTAGCAATTAATTATTTTGGCTGATTTTTTTTCTTAATTTTAGGTAAATAATATTAGCATTCTCAAACCAATAATGCAATTGCAGAAAGCATGCTATTTTAATGAAACTAAATTATGTTGAAATGTTACTTCATTGGATGCACAGCAACAAGTGGCTCTTTGGGTCTGTTACTCGCTCAATATATTTTAAACGATAAAGTATTGTTTTTGTTTTTACTTCATGCCTTTCTGTGCTCCTATTGGCCCAACCTCAGGCTCCTCTGGTTGGGTCCAAAACCTCCCAATGAGACCACCTGCCTTCTTTAGAGCCCCTAACTAGTTTTAAAGCATTAAAATATATATTTATTATTGTCATACATAATAAAACAGTGGTGGTTGAAACATGAAAAAATGCAACAAACTTTAAGGGGCATCCTTACTTTATCAAGACATTGTATGTAAGCGGTATTCTGTCTTATTCATCAATGTGTGGGTGTGAATAACATCTGTTTTGCTGTATGTTTTCTTTTTTTATCTTAAAGGAAAAAGAGCTTTCATTTTGATTTTGCCATAAGGTATTGTGGTCGATTGAGTTTATTTCCTGCATTGACTGCTGATTCATGAGCTTTCTGTGTAGCTTTTACCCATGTCTGCCTTTGTCGGAGCTTGCCACCTTAACAGCTGTCTTCAAAAAGTTTTTATTCAACAGGTTATGCTTTGACTCAAAAGTAACCGAGCCGGGGCAATAAAACCACATTAACTAATACAAACTGAAACCATGTTACTATCAAGTCACCTAAAACAATTTTAGATATAGTTTTACTAGAAAAAAAAAGTTTTTTGCTAAGCGAGTCTTTAGCTGAACAAAATTCAAACCTTTTAAAATCAAATTTTAACAGACTTTGATTTAAATAAGTGTAGATTATAAGTTTCAGAGGTAGAAACTGATGCTCTAAAAGCAACTCTAATTTGTTGTATTTTGAGAGATATCTCCTAATGCATGGGTTGGCAACCTAAACTGTTCAAAGAGTCATACTGGACCAAAAAAATTAAAAATAAATAAAACTGTCTGGAGCAGCAAAAGTGTAAAAGTCTTATATACGCCTCCTATGGAAACACAGGCTCTAAGCTCACTATAAAAAAGGACTTCATTGGCTTAGATGTATAATAAGCATTTCCTTATTAAATGTTTATCATGGAGCAGTGGGTAGCACTGCCGCCTGCAGCAAGAAGGTTCTGGGTTTGATTCCCAGCCTGGGGTCTTTCTGCATGGGGTTTGCATGTTCTCCCTGAGCATCAGTGGGTTCTCTCCGGGTACTCTGGCTTCCTCTCACAGTCCAAAAAGATATATATATATATATATGACTGTTAGGTTAATTGGCTTCTCTAAATTCTCCTTAGGTGTGACTGTGTTCTTGAATGTTTTGTTTGTCTCTGTGTTGCCCTGCGATGGAGTGGTGACCTGTCCAGGATGGACCCCGCCTCTCGCCTGTAGACAGCTGGAGATAGGCACCAGCACCCCTTGCGACGCCGCTTGGGATAAGAGTGACAGAAAATGGATGGATGGGGAAAAAAATGGATCGCTAACTCGATCTGTGAACGGCTTTCTATGATGCAACAAAACTAGCAGCAGTAGTGGAATTTGGAGATGCAATCCACTTCTGAAATCTATCTTTGCTCTCCTCTAATGGCACTTTTTCTCTCACTCCCAACTTGGTGGTCGGCTGCATATTTAGCATTCCCTGGAAATGCCTTTCCTAATTACTCTTTTTGTATGAAAACCTCTCATTACAAAGCAAACATGCAGGCAATCCCTCTGCATTGGTAATGAAAGCAAATGATTCGATCCATTCTTCTTTCAATCCTCCGTTCTCATCAGATATCTTCCGTTTTTCCCCATTTTGGATCCATGGCCAGAGATACACCCGCTGCTTTGTGTAGAACAGCCACCTGCCTGGCCCCGCATCACGCTGAAACATGTGTTCACAGAAATGTTTAGATTTATTGTTTAAATTTATGTATTATATATTTTTGGTACAGCATTGGAGACATTGTGAATCTTTGTTTGACCTCCTGCAAACCACATTAAAACAAAAAAAAAAATCCATCTTTTTCCATTTTCATACATTTTCGAAAAAGCTCCAGAGAGCTGCAAGGGGGGGCATTAAAGAGCCACATGAGGCTCTGGAGCTGTCGGTTGCCAACCCCTGTCCTAGTGTAATAATATTTGGCCGTAATGAGAATCAGTACATTAGAAGGAACAAAGCTCACAAGCCTAGGAACACCATCCTAATGGTGAAGTAGCACTATGATGTGTGCGTGTTTTTAGCTGCAACACAGACTGGTGCTCCTTAATAAAAAGATGGCTGCATGTTGAAAGAAAGTTTTGAGAAAAATAAACAAACAAAACAAAACAAAAAAACTACATCTTATGATATGAAAGTAAAGGAAAGTAAAGCTTTGGTAAATATGTGTCAACATGGGGGGTGAGTTTGCTTGAGGACCCAGAATCAGAGATTAGTGAGGCAGAGATGAGTTCTTGTAGGTTTAACACAAAACTGCGGCAAACATAAAAAAAAAGTACTAAGAACAAAAAAAAACAAAAAAAAAACAGCAACCATCAGGGAAAACTCACATGGGGAGCCAGAGATGTAAAAGCAACGAACAACAAGAAACCAGCACTGAAGAACTGCACAGGGAGAGTATATATGGGAGACTGAACAAAGACTGGGCTAATCAGATGATGCGGAGCAGGTGTGGATGGAAGTGACTAGAAGGGAGCTAGGGGAAAGGAGACAGGCACAAGGGGGCGACAGAGAGTAACCAAAGACTTTTTTCTATTTTGTCTTAAATATAACACAAAATGGAAAATAAACCAAAGATCAACAAAACAGAATTACTTTGGTAGTGAAAACTAAAAAGTCAATGTCCCAAAAGGGGAGAACCATAACAATAATGGCCTAAGTGACACTAAGCCTGCCACCGTATTAATAACAAATTAGCTTAAAGGGGTCATAGAATGCAGAACTGAGTTTATCTTAATAGAAGAATAACGATAGTTCAGTGGGTGAAATGGACGTACAGAGAAGTTCAAACCCAATCAGCCCCTCCTTTCTCTGCAAATCTCACTATTCTAAACTTCCACCATGTGGTGAGAGGCTCCAGTTTTGCTCAAACTGTGCGATTCAAAAGGATTTATAGTGCTAAGGTGACACATGTCAGATTTCAAATGTAAAGAAAAAGATACAAAGAAGTATCTGTAATCATTCAGCATTCAGCTTATTTTGCTAAACTGTAGTTTAGTCTGATGTAAATATCCAGTTTCAACTACACCTAGTTTAAAGGAGTATGATGGAATAATATCTTCTCTTTATTTATTCATTTTTAATTTTACAATATTTATGCCTGTTTCCTAGAAAAAAAAGTGGCTCATTAATATTGGATGGAACTTTATTTTATTGTTTTTTAAGCTATTTTTTTCTTTGTCAGCCTCTTGGCTGTGGGCGTAAAATTATCATTTAGGAATTTCTCTAGGTAATTGTATATCTTTGCTTAATAGCATATTTTATATAGTGATATGTTGTAGGAAAATTATAAATAAACATACACACATATTTCTAAATGATAGATATTAGTTTTTGAACTAGTAGGAAAGACGCTGATTAAGGTGTCAGGAGACCAATCTGTGTTCCCTTTCATTCCTGTTTCTTCATGATTGTCCTTTTTTAAGGTCCATGCATCGTTTTAACTAGTTTTTAATTTATGATAAAAATAAAACAGAGAGCATTTTTCTTTATTCTGAACTAATTCATCTATTGTAAGTAATTTAGAGGAATCCATACAAAATTATTTACTCTGAATTTCACAAAAAAGAGCGTAAAGAATACCATGGATCAAGATGCATGGACCTTATGGCCATTCATGTCTGTCTGTTGTTTGTACATCTGAGTGTAGAAAGAAATCTACATAATAAAGATTATGCGGTGATGAAGGTTTATTCAGTCATGTAATTGCACACCTACGCCGATGAGATTCAATTCAATTCAATTCAGTTTATTTATATAGCGCCAAATTCACAACACATGTCATCTCAAGGCACTTTACAGTTCAACCAGATCATACAGTCAAATTGATACAAAGTTTTCTATCTAAGGAAAACCAGTTGATTGCATTGACTCATTGACTCAAATACAATCCCCCACATTAAGCATGCTTGTAGCGACAGTGGAGAGGAAAAACTCCCTTTTAACAGGAAGAAACCTCCAGCAGAACCAGGCTCAGTGTGAGCGGCCATCTGCCGAGGCCGACTGGGGTTCAAGGAGACAGAAGCAGAGATACAAAAAGCAGCTGTAAAAGGCGGCCCCGTCCAGGAAACACACAGCCAGGCAGACGAGCTCCAAGGCAGCTCCCATGCCAGAGGACGAAGAGAGCACATCCACTCAGTCACGGTCAGAGAAACAGGACCACACTGGAAAACAGGCCGATCTCCAACATCTATTAACAAGGGTGTTGATAGAAGCAGCACAGCTGATGTTTTTTTCCAGGATGACGTCACAGCCAAACAGGAACAGACGAGGCAAAGCTACTCTGAGGAAAAGCAGAGAGAGCAGAAGGTTAGAGATTGAACTAACAGATTCTGCAGAATAGGAGAACAGAGAGAGAATGAAGCAGAATGATGAAATGGGGGTCCCTATGTCCTCCAAAAGTCTAAGCCTATAGCAGCATAACTATAGAGATAGCTCAGGATAACCTGAGCCACCCTAACTATAAGCTTTATCAAAAATGAAAGTTTTAAGCCTAGCCTTAAAAGTAGACAGAGTGTCTGCCTCACGGACTAAAACTGGTAGTTGGTTCCACAGGAGAGGAGCCTGATAACTAAAAGATCTGCCTCCCATTCTACTTTTAGAAATTCTAGGAACCACTAGTAAACCTGCAGATTGAGAGCGAAGTGCTCTGTTAGGAACATAAGGAACAATCAGATCTCTGATATAAGATGGAGCTTGGCCAATCAAGGCTTTATATGTGAGAAGGAGGATTTTAAATTCTATTCTGGATTTAACAGGAAGCCAATGAAGAGAAGCCAGGATAGGAGAGATATGATCTCTCTTTTTCATTTTCATTAGAACTCTGGCTGCAGCATTTTGGATCAGCTGAAGGCTTTTAACTACAGTTTGTGGACTTCCTGATAGTAAAGAATTACAATAGTCCAGCCTTGAAGTAACAAATGCATGGACTAGTTTCTCAGCATCACCCCTGGACAGGATATTTCTAATTTTTGCAATGTTCCTCAGATGAAAGAAGGAAATTCTAGAAACCTCTTTGATATGGGATTTAAATGACAGGTCCTGATCAAAAATAACACCAAGATTTTTTACTTTATTATCTGAAATCAGTTTAATCCCATCCAAATGAAGTGACTGACTAATCAGTTTCTTTTTCAGAGACTCTGGTCCAAAGACTATAACTTCTGTTTTGTCTGCATTCAGAAGCAGAAAATTAAGAGTCATCCAGGTTTTTATGTCTTCAAGACATGCCTGTAATCTATGTAATGGGTTAGCTTCATCTGGATTTATAG